CCCTAAGAAGCACGGACACGGGACACGGGACACGGATACAACACGATATGGACACACGGATACGCTATTTCTCAAAAAAGTAGGACACGGACACGTTGGGGTCACATTGAATAAATATATATATTTAATTTTTATATGACTAGTAGCTCATAAATTTGTCCCAATACACATTTTTATACATATTTTTGGCCCAAGTAAATGGATAAATTTAGCCCAAATATAGTCTAATTTTAATTCACCCATTAATTTTATTGGACCAAACAAAGTCCCATAAAGCAGAGAAATGATTAAGTTAGCCCATCCAATGGAATGCATAAGTTTTAAGTTCTCATTTAATCTGGGCCACATTTGATCTTTTCAAATTGATAAGGAGATGAGGCAAAAATCTAAGAAAATCAATAATGACATGCCACATGGCAATGACTTGATTTAAGCAACACAATAATCTAGAAGAAAAAAAACAAAATCTATCACTTTCCCAAAAAAAGAAAAAGTAGATCTACCGTAAGCCCCCCCCCCCACTCCTCTATCTCTCAAACACACACCGATACATCTCTTTCTCAGTAAAAACATCTGCAACATCTCTCTTTTCTCTGTAATCTCCCTCTCTCTTCTATGTAAAGATGGCCACCGATCGCTGGAGATGGCTACTGGTCAATGGACACCTTTGGTGTTTTGTGGATCGAGTTTTGTCTTTCTCATCGGCTTCTTCATTGTCATTGTTGTCAGTCTTCATCGACCCCGGCTGCCGTGAAAAACCAAAAATTGGTAAGTTGGAGAAGTATTCGGGACGTGTCCGATTATCTAAAAAAAAAATTCAAACACTAAATTTTACGTATCCGGGACGTGTCCGAGCATATCCGTGTCCCAGACGTATCAAACATGTCGGTGCTTCACAGATAAGACCAGTACACAAAAAACAGGTTTACCAACAATTGCTAATCATTGATAAGTGGACACCACTTACATTTAAGGAGAAAATTACTCATTACGAATTATTGTTCTTTATATTGGCTCATGCAACTCGTGTCCAATGCAAATTCACTGTAAGAAAATATAAACACCACAAAAATTGAAAAACATCTGGGATGACCTTCATTCTAATACCCTAGAAGACCACTAGGAACCCCACATACCTGTTGTCTCTATCACAATATGATCAAACCTGTCTCGCTTCTTCTTAGCCAACTCCAAAAGCATTTTGACTAGATCTCCCCGCACAGTACAACATAGACAACCATTATTAACCATTACAATTTCCTCATTAGATGACGAATGACTAGCAACTAATGAACCATCAATATCCACCTCACCAAACTGCAATGAAAAATAAAGAGAAACTCAGTTGCTTACAAGTAATCCCAAAAGATCATATTCCCAATTCATTTAGCACTCTAGCAGCCTAGCAACAATCAAAGCAGTCGTTTAGCTGATACTTTCTCTGCAAAATGACCTTTAAGGGATATTAGGAACACAGCTTGTTACCTCGAGACAAGTAGTATTACACATTATACTCATGCTTAAGAAATATCATACATACTTGACCTGCCTCAGAATAAGTTGTTTTGTGCACTGCTGACTCTTCTTGTTTTTGGGTTTAACAAGGTGTTGCCTACTTGCCTGGGTCGAGGGTTTCTACTTTGGATTTTTACAGTTCTCTTTGGAAGCATCGTGTGTGCATAGCTTTTTGGGTGCTCCTTATGTATCTGGTGTACAATAAACTGTATAAAGTACAAACTTGTCTAATGCCCCCAATTTTCACAGTAGTGCCATTTGTGGAATACTAGCGCCCTGCATTTTTTTGTCATTTTGTCATTTTTTTTTTTTTTCACTTTCACCTTAACACTTGCGCAAATAAATTTTAAAAATAGTGCTTATTTAGTGGGAAGTTGAGAGGTGGTTACAAAAGACACATGGTAGAATGTGATTGAAAGAAATCTTAGTATGGTAATTAAAAAAATCAAAACTCTAGAAAAATAGAAAATGTGAAGTAAAGGCTTTTCAAGGCTTCTCCCTTCTAATTTGTTTGTTGTATAGATAGATTGGTTTTATAGCTTCAATGTATCCATCCTTACATCATGGAAGTTCCATGCAAAGTGTTGACTGGTAGAGAAGGCTTCAGGTACCTTAGTGGGCTCACGTCATCATCTTAAGAGCTTTCTTAGTAAACAATTCAACATCAAAAGCTTAAAAGAAGCATGAGGAAGATATTAACTATTCTTTGTTTTTCTTCACTATTTTTCAGCGTTTATGGGGAAGCAACACATCTTAGCCAGCTCAACCACATTATCAAAGGACCTACTCAGTCAATTATTCAGCAGCAACAAAATAAAGAGTGACGTGTTAAACTGCTACATGCACGAAACACATTTACCCCAATAAGTTAAAAGGAAAAAAGCCAATGTCTGGGAGATATCTGTTTACATCAAATATACATCAGACCTTACATAGTGAACTACAAAGCTTTATAATAATAATCACTACTACATGTACCAATGACAACAAAGGCATTTATTACTCCATCTCCATACTTAACTTGTAGTCCATAAACTTGCTCATATTGTCATCATTTCATACTCCTAGACCCAAAACAAAGGCACACTAAAGGAACCAAAAAAAGGGTTAGATATTCATTCATGTATGTAGTGTACACATGTACCATATTATCTGAACATCTCTTGTGCATTTATGGACTGAAATAGCAAATAGTTCTAAACTTTAACAAAGATCACATCCAATACCTCATTCTCAATTACAGCAATCCGTTTTCCATGCTGTGACGTCAGGATATGATTCAACAAAGTTGTCTGCTTCAGACAAGAAAACATTATCCAAGCAAACCAAATTTAATAATGCACCAACAAAAGTATCAAAATACAAGGAACTATGAAAACTAAATTTATTAACACTGAAACTTATACAAGGCCCAGTTTAGTTGTAAAGAAAATTCAAGAAACGAACTAAAGAAACCAAAACCCCGGACACCCAATCTACCCAGTTAACTAATGTTTTTGCATTAAAGGAAGAAAATAAATAGCACCCAGTTCAGTCCACACGATAACAAAACGAATCAATTTTTTTCTCTTCCGCAATGTTCTCAGGAACCAAACAGAGAATTTGGAAATCATAAGAAGAAACCAACCTTTCCGGACCCTAGAAAACCTGTGATCACGGTGGCGGGGACCCGATCATCAACATTTAACGCGGCAGCGACAGATGCACTAGAATCTTGGGGATCATCATCGAGGGCAGTGGACATGGTCCTGGAATGCAAGGAATGGAATTTGTTGCGGGAACGGAATTGGAATTCTTGGGAAATAAGAGAGTAAAGACTTCTGAGAAATTGAGAAACCATAGGAGAGCCATTGAAACGACGAGGTTGGACGGACTTGTAGAGGGTTTGGGACGTTGTTTTGGAGAGTAAGTAAGAATCTGGAGCGGGGCAGAGTTGGAGAGAGAGAGGGAAAGTTGAGATCTAAAACCCTAGAAAATGGATTATGCTTTGGAGTTTTGAGTTCGGAGCCTATATATAGGTCCCAAAACGGGTACGGGTAATTTCTTGGGCGGGTCGCGTGTACAATCCCAAGGTCCACCAGGTATAAGTAATTACATTAACATATCTATCTGAATTTTTTGAAAATTTATTAAATTTACATTGTTATTTTCAACAACCGAGTAAAATATTATTAAACTATCTGCAAACAGTTACTTTTCTCGTGTGTTCAATTTTAAAAAGAGAGATAAGAAAAAAGTAAAAAAAAAATATGAGAGTGAGAATATATAAATTGTGAAAATTATGGGTAGTTATAGGTAATTAAAATAAAAAGCTAAGAGAAATGGTTACTGGTGTTACAAATGTGAACACCAAATCCTACCTTCTTTCTTTATTAGCAGTATAGATTTATTATTTTCCGTGCACTAATTCAACATAAATTATTATTAGACTAGTGAGCCTCCCTGAATTAATTTTTTATTTTTTTAAAAACTCTTTGAATTTATCAAACATTCAAATTCTAATTTAAAAGATCAATAGTTAGCCTAATGACCACCGTAATTCATCATTGGACTGTTAAGTCACGAGTTCCAATCTCATCAGCCCCTCCTTTGTAATATTTCAAAATAGTGACAAAAAAATAAATAAATTATAATTATAATTGTATCACCTCAAGTTTGTTATTGTTATTTTAATTATATTGACTTTATTTATTACACTATCAAACTTATCTCTCATTTAACCTCTCTAATGCAAGTTCATTAAACCAAACAAACCAATTGAGAATGAGCTAACAGACATATTAAAAATTATCAATTATTAATTCTTTTCAGTAATATTATAATATGCAAGTGTAAGAGCGATGATTGAACCAAACTACTTGGATTCAACTCGTACTGGACTCGACTCGAGTTTAACTCATTTTAAAAATGAGCCGAAATCAAATAATTTTTTTAACTTGTTTAGAAAAACAAGTCTAAAAAGATTATACTCGAACTCGTAAAATTTCTCTGGTTTATATATAAAATAACCAAATTACTTGAGCTCAAAATAATCAAATTAGTTGGGCTCGACTCAAGTTTATACTCGTATTGAACTCGGCCCGGACTTGAAAAACTTTTTAGCTCATTTAAAAAACCAAACTCAACAAGATCAGTTCAATTATCAACCCTATTTTCATGCGAAAATATTAATTCTAATTTGAGTTGTGTATTTTGGGGTGAGGCAGGCGGAGAGGCCTCTAACTTTTAAATAATCAGCAAACATGAAATTTTAACATTTATTATAATTTATTATATATTACCGAAAGCAAGAACCAAACAATAGATGGGTGGCGAAAAGCAAAAATGGCTACATTCCTCAAATTCATGATCCACCATCCCTGCACAGTGACTTCAGATTCTTTCCTTCATAACTTAAAAACAAAAAAAAAATGCATATAAAGATTTACAATATGATTTTGAAGTTGTGAGGGTCATAGCATCACCAAGAACCATGCTTTATGGTGTCACCTAGAAGGGGTTTCGGATGGCTGGCTATTCAGCGCAGAATTCGAGGGAACCGAAGGTAGAGTTCCATTTTCTTGAGGAGCTGAACCACCCCACTTTGGCTCCGCGTCAGATGGCTCGATCACATGAACTGCACCATCACTCATCCCGAGAGCAAATTGGTTGGGATCAGATGGGTGGGCGGCAATCACCACAGGAAAGGCAGTGCCACAGTTGCTGCAGAATTGAAGTTATTGTCAATCAGTTATTTCAACCTTTGGTATTCAGACATCATTTGAAACTGGAATTATGATGGTCAAATGATCAAACGACCAAGTTCAATAGAATCGCAACAAAAACTGGAAGACAGAGAGACAGAGAGAGAGCTTGATAGCCTTATCGTCTTTGAGACAAGATAATTCTATAGAACTTCATTAGATGTGGTTCAATAGGATCAACGTCTCAACAAGTCCTTGAAACAAATGACATGCTCTAACCATTGAAGTGCCAAAAACCCATGGCACCTAGATAAACAAAATGCAGAAAGCTCTTGACTTGCAATCTTAAACCTTGAAAAATTGTTGGACAATTATAAAGAGTTTTAAATTTCACCTCAATAATGCATATTATCAAATATGATTTTCCTTTCAATGTTCTGAAAAAGATTGAAGGTCTTTGTTTTTCTTAAGATAAGATTCAATGCGTAGAAATACTAGAAAATGGGTAAGAGTGATCATGTATTTGAAACTAATTTGACCTCTTGTACGGTTATGCCTCTGGTTCAAGGAGATTCCATTGACTTAATTACAATAACTAGGCAGGTTGACTCCAGGGTATAACTAATATGTTAAACCAAAACAAAAGAAGAGAAAGTCGTGAAATCAGTCCATGTTGTTTAAAACTTGATACTTTGTAAGCCTTGATGTATTATTCTTTTCCCCACCACATTAAAAACCCAAAATGAACCATTTTAGATGCACTGCTATCTAAAGTTAGCCATGCAAACTTTAGCATACCTGGCAACAGAGGAAGATATGTAAGCAGAGGCAGCAACCCGACATCGAAGCCTCAAACTGTCCGCATCAAAAATTCCAATAGCACCATCACGGAATCCGGAAAATACCAGTAGACCATCACATGAGTATATTGCACTTGAAATGGCAGCAGAAAGTGACTCTCTTGGGGACCACTGCAATAGGGTTTCTTCATTAAATTTATAGAAAGCCAACCCAGCACAGCGGAGCAACCCCAACCCAAAAAATAAGGTAGGAGGTAAAGAATGAAGAGGATATAGAGATAGAATGTCACATATATTTATGTGTCAGAGAGAGAGAGAGAGAGAGAGAGAGGGAGATATTGGTATCAACTAGAAAATATAATATTTTTCTAAATGAAACTCCTAAAATATCACTCATGTGAATGCTTTCACATTCTGTTTTTCCTATCCCCAAGTAATTTGAGTGAAGCATGTTTTGTGGAACCTGAAGGTCTTGGTGAGGAAGAGATCAGTATTGTTGTCCTCTTCTTACAGTTCTAACCACTCTTTTGCCACAACTTTACGATGGGAGTTCTGAGATTCGGTTAATCAAGACTTGACAACTATATAGACTTTAACCAGTCCCATGTGACTAAAACCATTAGTTTCATTTAGCATTTAAAAGAAGTACAAAAAAAGAGCGTAAATAAGCAATTGTTTACCCTGTAGTCGATCAATAAAATGACTACTATTAGAGACACATACAAGACAAGGATTTACCTAGTCAAACAATTGATAACTGGAATTTCTTATGTTGCGATGAATCTGGTTCCACAGCTAAGCTAACCATACATCTATCCAAAAGGTTTGGTAGCATTTGGATATAGTAGTATCCAAAAGTGTCATCATTGTATGCATTTAAGTAGAGATAGTAGTATAATGGCGCCCTCATGTAGACATACGTATCTATAACTGAAGCATGGAAACCATTAACAGTCTTTCTAATTATTTTTGCAAACATACTGGGCACTGATGCATCAAATATACCCTTCAAAGAAACCCACAACATGGTTTACATTTGGAAATCTATAATATAAATTAGGGCGACTTCAACAAGCTCATCGTAAGGTCTCAAATTTTTTATCCAACGGCCACAAAAAATTTTCTCATTTCTCCTAAATTCATCACATGTCACTCATAATTATTTTTTCAAAATCAGACCAATCAATCAACTCTCAGCAGCCTCTCCTCCATCTCTTCTTTTTTTTTTTTTTTTTAACTCCCTTCTGTCAGACAAGCCATGCCTTCCATTTCTTCTGTTTTCTTTTTTTTTTCCCTACCTCTCTCTCTGTTTTACGCCCCAGCAACACCACCAGCAAAACCACCACCGCCGTCACTACTAACCCCTCCCAAGTAAACTCTCATCTCTCTCTCTCTCTCTCTCTCTCTCTCTCACACACACACACACACTAACCCCTCATCCTAGCCCCACCTTTTCCCTGCCCTTTCCACGCAACACCACCTCCCACCCTACCTCCACCCCCTCCCCCCTCATCACAAGCCCTCTCAATGCATGCCTGAGACACACTCACTCCACCCTCTCTCTTCGTTTCTCTCTCAACCACCCACAGCAACGCCACCATTCAACGGCAACAACACCCATGACAACATTGCCCAAAGTGGCTCCGACAAGATATGTAGCTGCCCTCTCTATCTCTCTCTTTGCTCCTCTCCTTCCCCTGTCTCTCCCATATGTCTCACTCAATCGTCAAACTACCCGCAAACCCCAAAATGCCACCACTTGTTTTGCGACACCAAACCCACTACATCTCCCTTTTTTGAAGAATTTTTGTTACTGATCTAAAATTTTCGTTAATTGGTACAATTTATGGTGGTTTGAGATTTTGTTTTTTATTTGTAAATGTTTATTGTGATCTGAAATTTTGGTTCAAGATTTATTTTTAATTGGTTCAAGATTGAATCCGGTGAAATTGACGACATGGAAAGTTTTTTTTTTTTTTAACATTACATAAAAATTTATGATCTCTTTATAGTTGGCCTTCATTAAGAGTGCATCAATTGTATATAGGACTGTGTACCATATCTATTAACCAATCCATCTAGGTGTCTTACTGAGAACTCTCACAAAATGAGAGGTTGAACTCAAGAATGTCCCTGGAATGGCAACTTTGCAATGAGAAGCTTTGTTCAATGATTGAAATCTATAATATACAGTAAAAAGAAGTTTTTGATGTCAAGGCTTATTCTCTTCCATTTATATAACATTGGGAGTTTACAGTTTATTTGTTTAATTAGGATTTTATAGAGGGTCGATTGTGTAATTAGTATTTTACAAATTGTTTAATACTAATTGATAGTTTCTTGCGTTCTTTTTTATAGGAAAAATTTTGTCCAAATTTTTTAAATGAACATAGAAAAATATTTATTTAAATATTGATATTTTTTGTTTAGCATAATATAATGCCTTGAGGCACATACATTTCTTTTAATTGTATTTTTTATGATGAATGAAAAGAAAGCATTTCGACTCACTTTAGTTCACCAAAGTCATGACATTAAGTTAGATAATTGAATGTCGGTTCTTAAACTGATCATCGCTACTTTATTTTTTTGTGTTCACAATCAATGTTCGGTTTTTTTGAATTATACAGTGTCTTCAGGCACGGGTTATCGCTAGTACACTATTATTACATGGCATCCGCAAGTTCAACATGGTCATATTTGTTTCAACTCTTTAATAATGACTCCTAAACTCCAAAGCTGGAAAACCACAAATGATCATTAACTGCAGCACAAAGTTTATATAGGTTCAAAAAGTGAAAAATCACATCAAGAAACCTACTAGACACTGGAAATCAAGCCCAACAATAGAAAACAATTAAAAATGAGTCCAAG